CTTTATTCATAATAGCCCATAACTGGAAACAACCCAGTGTCCATCAACTGGTGAATGACTAAGCATGTGGGAATTATTATTCACCAATAACAAAGAATGACTATTGATTGATACATGCAAAAACCTGGGTGAATCTCAAAACACATTATGCTGAGTGATAAAAAGCCAGACACAAAAGACTACATAATGTATGATTCTGTTTATATGGAATATATATGTACTGTACATGAGGAACCTGTACATAGATCAAGAAGCAGTCATTTGAACAGAACAAGGGGATACTGTGTGGTTTAAAGTCAGAAAAGGTGTGCATCAGGGTTGTATCCTTTTACCATATTCAATCTGTATGCTGAACAAATAATCCAAGAAGTTGGACTGTATGAAGAAGAACGGGGCATGAGGTTTGGAGGAAGACTCGTTAACAACCTGCGTTATGCCGATGACATGACCTTGCTTGCTGAAAGTGAAAAGGACTTGAAGCACTTACTGATGAAGATCAAAGACTACAACCTTCAGTATGGATTACACCTCAACGTAAAGAAAACAAAAATTCTCACAACTGGACCAATAAGCAACATCATGATAAATGGAAAAAAGATTGAAGTTGTCAAGGATTTAATTTTACTTGGATTCACAATCAACACCCATGGAAGCAGCAGTCAAGAAATCCGAAGACCATTGCATTGGGCAAGTCTGCTGCAAAAGACCTCTTTAAAGTGTTAAAAAGCAAAGATGTTACTTGAAGACTAAGGTGCGCCTGACCCAAGCCGTGGTGTTTTCAATCGCCTCATATGCATGTGAAAGCTGGGCAATGAATAAGGAAAATCGAAGAATTGATGCCTTTGAATTATGGTGTTGGTGAAGAGTATGGAATATACCATGTACTTCCAAAAGAACGAACAAATCTGTCTTGGACGTACAGCCAGAATGCTCCTTAGAAGGGAGGATGGCGAGACTACGTCTCATATAGTTTGGACATGTCATCAGGAAGGATCAGTCCCTGGAGAAGAACATCATGCGTGGTAATGTAGAGGGTCAGTGAAAAAGAAGAAGACCCTCAACTAGATGGATTGACACAGCAGCTGAAACAATGGACTCAAGCATAACAACGGTCATGAGGATGGCTCGGGACAGGGCAATGTTTTGTTCTGTTGTACCTAGGGTTGCTGTGAGTCAGAAGTGACTCAACAGCACCTAACAACAACAAAAGTGAAGTAAAGCAGATCAGCAATTGTTAGAGACTGGCTGCAAAGGGGCATGAAGGAATTTTTTTGGGTGATAGAAATGTTCTATATCTTGATTATGAAGATGTTCACATAAGTTTATACATTTGTCAAAACTCATCAAATTTACACTTAAAATTGGTGTATTTTACTGTATTACACCTCAGTGAAGGAGCCCTGGTGGCACAGTGGTTAAGTGCTTGGCTGCTAACTGAAAGG